TTTAAATTTGAATTTGAACACATCTAGATTTATCCATTTAAACTTATTTGATAAGTTGTTCAATTTTAGAATTCAAATTAATTTAAGTTTGACTTAAATTTGAATTTGAATCTGAATCAAAATTGGACTACAGGATAAAGGATGATTTTTCTCTTCCTTCTCTATTTGAATTGGCGCCACACACAGGGTTAGAAAACCTTAATATGGCCGGCCACCTTAGAGATAAGGGGAAGGGATTTTTGTTCCAAAATTCAAAAATTGGAGATAAGGATTTGATCATGTTTTAAAGTTTGACTTCTACTCTTTAAATATGAGAATAATAGAAAATTGTGGACACAATTTTTGAAACATTTATTCAGCCCTAAAAGTTGGTGGCCGAATTTCTCAATAGCAAAAGAGAGAGAAAATATTTTTCTCCAAAAATTCCACATCGTGCATACGTTGGTGTTTGTGGAAATTCGAGTGTTTAAGAAACCTGTTTTGTCTCACGTGTGCCCACACACACGTCTACGTAGAATCAAGGAATTGACGTGGAAGACTTTGGTATTCTAAACACAAAGATTGGAGCAAGGACTGTTTATGGTCAAAGAACTCAAGATATCATCTGAGTCGGCTTCCAGGTATTTTTCCGGGATTGAGTTCTTGATGTAAATTAATGCAATTAATTTATTCGTGCATAAATTAATATAATCTATAGAGTATCTCAAAAGTTTTTCTGAAATTTTTGTTATACACGATCCGCCTCTTTCCCCACGCTTCCGCACCCGAATTCGATTCGGGAACCAACAGAAGCAACTGAGTGTTTGGTAAACTGTAATTCTAGTAGCTGTGCTGGTTCCAAAATCAGTGTAATAGTGTTTGGTAACTTTTGAGGTTGAATTGTTGTGGGTATGTAAAATGACCAAAATAGACATGGTATGAAACTTAAATATATATAATTATTTTTGGTATTTAGAAATACTTGTTTAACTTAAAAAAAAAAAAACATAATGATATGATTTTGAGTTTTTTAACAATATATTTATGATAATTAATTCTTATTTTTTTCATTTCTTCATTCACAATATAGTTACAACTAAAAAGAGCATTAGTGAGTAATCAATTTGTTGAACAAAAATGTACATTCCATGTTTAAAAACTAGTAGAGGCATGAAAAGAATTAAGTCGTGTTCATTAAACTTGCCGCAATTTGATCTCGTACTTCATCCATTTCCGGTGATAGTAAAACTTGATTTTCTTCTACATTGTCCTCTGATTGATTCTCTTCATAAACAAAAACATATGGATTATCCTCGACCCTTTGAAAACGTCGATCACGCTTCCTAATGTAGTTATAGAGCACCATTGTTGCAATAACTATTTTCACTTCTTTCGTAAATGAATAATTTGACATGTCTTTCAAAATTTTTCATTTTTTCTTCTAGACATCAAAAGTGCGTTCAATGACATTTCGTCCAGACACTAATATTAGTAGAATTATTAGTAAGCAAACAAGAATTTTAAAACCTTTAAACTAAACCAACTTGGGGTTCAAAGATGCTCAAATAATAAAATATCCGATAAAATAACAAAAAGGGACCAAAAAAGAGGTTTCTACCAAAAAGATCCAGGAATAGCCTCACTTTAATTTCTCTTAAAAGCTTAATTGTCAAATGACCAAGTTACATAAACAAGTTGGGCCTTGATGCCTTGTATGTGGTCTTCAATTTCCTAGTTGATGGCCTGACCTTCTTGTACACCAATGGGAACTTATCTTCGAGTTGTGGAATTGTTTTATGCTTCTCTCTCTTGCAAAACTTGACAGGGACAGTTGTAGTCTTGATAATCTGAATGCATGAGAACCTGACTCTGTGGCGAGAAGCCATTTCGTTGTACATCTGCTCCACGACACCATTTAGAGTGGTGTCACAGAACTCTTTGTACATATTATAGTACCCAGTTCGGCTCTAATAACGCAGCCAAATACCATAATTATCAATTTTGGTGGGGTTCTTCTAAAAAATTTGTAAGAAAATATGATAAATTTGTTAAGAAATTTCATGCCAAGAAACGGGCCAAGCCAAATGATAATTAATTATAGAACCACAAATAAAGAACAATCAACACACATGATTTTACTTGAATATAAAAACACATGATTAGAAAGGAATAACTATTTTACCACATAACACAAGCAAAATGAGCAAATAAAAATATCATTTCAAAAATAAAAATTACCTCATTGATAGCAAGAAACTTCAAAAGTGCATTAAGCACATCCATAAAATAAATAGCCATATCCATGAAACAATTCCAACCAAATAACATCCCCATTCCAAAAAAAATAATTCTTGCAAATATATATATATATATATATATATATCCACACACACACACACACACACACGTATATACCTACAAATACAAACTTAAGTCATTTTATTCTTCAAACATACGCAATAAAACACTCCCTAAGTCAAAATGGAATTCATTCTCTCTTCAATTCCAACCAAATAACCATATCCATGACTAGTTTGCTTTTGCTCAATCCATGATCTTTCACCTAAAAAGCAAAAATTAGAAGATATGAACAGGGGATATTGTGTATATAACAGGTCCAAACATACTTGAAAATAGAGAGAAATTATTAGAATGCAAAGTAATATCATGACACAAAATGCAGTACGTGAAAATAGATTCCACGAGAAAATGACAATAAAGAAAACTAATAAAATCTGCAGTTGAAGAATAAATCAAATTTTTATTATCAGAACGCAAAGTAATATCATGACAGAAAATGCAGAAAGTGAAAATAGATTCCACAAGAACATGACAATGAAGAAAACTAACAATATCAGCAGTTGAAGAATAAATAAGTTAGCATTCGAAAATTCGTTATTCATAAGTACCATGTCTTGTGATAGTTCCAAAACAGATGCATCGCCCCTTTCATTTGTAAATGAGACAACGTTCGCACAATGTCCATAAAGCAACGTAGTCGAACTCCATACTGCTGATGGCATCCATAAATGAACCTGAAAATAATCACAAGCAAATCAAAAAAGGGATCCAAAAACACAATTACGGCTTCTTAAGATTCCTCTGAACACGTACCGAACTTTATTCTCGTATTGCAAAGAACATCTGGATTAGGGGCACGGCCACAGCGATACTCGTCAATTATGTAGGACACCTGAACCATGAAACAACAATTTTCAAAACTTATTTTCAGAGCAGAATCAACTTTTATAGCTTAAATAACATTACTAGTCAGCTGAAGATGGGGTTTTGGAGGGAGGCGAGTTCGTGGTTTGAGAGGGAGAGATATGAACCGAGAGAGTCTGCTCGTACTTCAATCGCAGGAGGAGATCAAAACCCTTACGAGCAGAGAGGGAGATTGAGAGAACAGAAAGAGAAGAGCTTGATTGTCTAGAGAGAGAGAGCACGAAGAGAAAGCAGAGAGGGAAACTCGAGAACTCGAGAGAAGAGATAACAAAACCAGCAGAAATCTAACGGTGTGGGATTTTTTTCATTCATCAGGGGTAAATGTGTAATAACGAAATCTACGATCAGAAGCAGCTGAAAGACTGCGTTTTGGCCTCAAATAGTTTCAAAATTCTTTCAAAAGCACTTTTCATGTTTTTACCAAACACAACAAATAGCTGTGGCTATTTAGAGAATTCATTTTAGCCTCCAATAATCTCTACTAAAGTGAGCCGAAACCTATTCGTTACTACGAATAATTTCGAACACTATCATATGTTAAAATTATTCGTCACTGCAATTAATTTCGCACCCGATAATTCATTTTTGTCAAGAAAAAAGGTATTACAGAGAATGTTACAGATAAAATTCTAGAGAGAGAGTGATTTAGCGAGAGAAAGATTTGGCTCAACTGAATTGATTTATTACTATTTGATAAATATTTATACAAGAATAGTTGTGGCTCGATTAGTTTGTTGATTCGAGTTTTTAATTCGAGTTGAAATGTGATTTTATGTTAAAGTTTTTTACTGTGGTAAAAAAATTAGATGTGACTGTTTTTTAAAATTTTTTATTGTAGCAAAACTCAAAATCTAAACTCGAATTGGTGAAATGAATAGGACTGTAGTAATTAATACAACTGAGAGTTTGTTACATAGTTACAAAACTCTATTATGTTGACTCAGCATGTATTAAGCTGCATTAGAATCTCAGCTTAATTCAACAGTTACAACAACAGATTTGGAATACTAGATATATCCTTAACACTATCGTACCAAAATACTGATTTTCAGCATCCAAGAATGGGAGTTTTTTTTAAGGAAAAATTTTAAAATTTAAATAAAATCTATCCCCAATTATGCAATTTTTTTCTTGAAAAGGAAAGAAAAAAACCAATTATACGCACAATACAGACTAGAAGATACATCTATTAAGGTTTCGTTTGGTTGGAATGATAAAGAGTATGAATGATGGAGAGAATTGAATGAATGAGGAGTACGAAAGATGGAGAGGATTGTAGCAATTCATGTTATTTAGTAGGATGGATGAGGAGTTGAAAGGATAGATAACAATTATTTATTAGATTACTATATTGTTCATTTAAACTTTTTTAAAATAGTCTTTTAAAGCAAAAGTGGATGGATTGTTTGAATTCTTCCATTGATGAAATTATCTAATTTTATGGGCCATGAGGGAGAACACACCCATCCACTAAGGGTGTCAATTCGTGTCACGTGTCGTGTTCGTGTCGTGTTTTGATCGTTTCTTTCTAAATTTACAGTCAACCCGAACACGACCCGTGACACGAAATTTTTTAAAAACTGCAACACGAACATGACACGACCACTTTACGAGTTGACACGACACGACCCGAAAATGACCCGTGACACGAAATTGACCCGTGAACCAGAAATTGACACAAAAATTGTATACTTTTATTTAGTTTTTTACATATTAAAAATAACTTAAAATTCATAACACACTAAATTACAATAACATCCATTAAAATTAAGCAAATAATAGTATAAGATTTTGAGTATAACTATCATGATATCACAAGTTCATAATAAAATTTAAAATATGAAATAAAAAATATATGTACTTTTTAGTTTTTTACGAGTTTCGTGTCGTGTTCGGGTTAGGTGGGTCCAACCTGAATTGACCAGTGTTTTTCGTGTCAATTTCAGGTCGACCAAATTCTGACCCGAACCTCTTTTTTCTCAACCCTAACCCGAAAAATTCGTGTCGTTTTCGAATCGTATCGTTGTGTCGTGACCCATATTGCCGGCCCTACCCTCCACATCTCCTCTCCCTCATCCTCTCTCTCCAACCAAATAGAGATTGGACCTCTCCTTTCAGCACTCTCCCTCCTATCAAACATACTCTAACACTATTATACCAAAATACTGATTTTCAGCATCCAAGAATGGGAATTTTTCCAGAAAAAAATTAAAATTAAAATAAAATCTAGCTATTGTGCGGGTTTTTCTAAAGAAAAAAAGAAAAGAAGCATTTATACGAATGGATCATTTTTACTCCAATGTTTAGAATATGTCTTCAATTTAATAATATTATTAATTTATCTATTTTATAGTTATTGATATGATATAACTTTAAATATAGATTTTTTTGTTTGGGTGGTTGTAATTTATATAACTGATTTTAAAAAGTAATTAATTAGAGATGAAAATACCATTATGAATTATTTTACAGATTTATATACAAATATAACAACTTCTCGACATTTAGGGTGTGTTTGGTAAGGGGATTCGTATCCTGATTCGAATCATAGTTCATGATTCGTTACAGTATTTTCTCTTATAAAAAATACACATAAATAAAAAATAATTCTAATATCATAATTCTAATCTATGAACTAAACGGCTCCTTATTCTGTTTCTCATCTATTATAAAAAAAAAATATATATATATATATATATATATGTGATTAACTCAAAAAGAAATCCCAATTACCGGCATAACACGGCCCGTACGGTCCAGTACGAGAACAAAGATTCCCGGCCCCGCGAAATACGAACGGGACCCACCACATACCCCAAATGACTTGCAGAGGAAGTTCTTTCGGCGCTTTTTCTCCCTGCTCCTCGCTTCGAGATATACGTTTACAATAGAAGAAATCTATTGGCCAAACAAGTAAAAAGTCAAACAAATGGTTATTGAAGGGGAAAACTCCTCCACTCCCGTCCCTCCAGACCATCCGCTGACTAAGCGTCAACGACAGGTCCCCGGTTCCACTCAACTCATATAGACTACACTTTACTCGATTACCACCTCCGCAAAAGACAAGGGAAGCGGGAGTCTAGGAGGAAAGAATTTTCGTGATTTATAAATATTTTTTTTGCTCGCTTCCGCAAGGAAAGGATTCTTCAGTCTTCTCTTCCCAAAGTTGCCATTTCCGGTTAGCAAGAGGAGAGGAGAGCGAGGGTTTTTTACTTTTCCGGTAATGGCGTCGCCGTCGTCTCCGACGTTGTCTTGCAGTTCGTCGTACTCGTCGTCGTTTGCACCGTCGTTCAGATTCTCGTCTCTCCCCGTAATGGCTTTCCGAGAGAAAATCATCGAGAAAGTTTTCGAGAATCGCGTCACGCTCATCGTCGGCGAGCCTGGCTGCGGTAGTCTCTTTGCTTTTATTTCTCGTTTGTGTTCGAGAGATTTGACCGTGTATGAATGTGTGTTCCTGTCATTTTGTACACTGCTGTTTGGTTACCGAGAAGACGACGGAAAAAAGAAGTCTTTTATTAGTAATAAAAAAAGAGAAATGCTAAGGAAAATTTCTGTACGACGAAAGTTGCGTTTATTGGATTTGGTGTTTTTATTAGATTTAGTTAAGCGTTAATTCAGCTACTCTGTGTTTTCAGTGATTACCAGCACAATTCATCCGATATATCCTGCATTGATATTTGATAGTTTCAGTTGACTTCCCAACCGGAAGTGGTTTGCAATTTGTTTATGTTGTTTATATCTTTTGTTTCTTGCAATTTGTTTATGTTGTTTATATTTTTGTTTCGGACTTTCTGTGTCAAAATTTTAATCCATAGTGGAAGAGAGGAATTTGGGTTTGTCTTGCAGTTAATGTAAGGAACGATGACGAAGGAAAATAAGAAAAAATATATAATTTTAGTTTTTCATTTGGGATGTTGTCTATTCAATAAAGTCAAATTGATTTTTTTTTTCGAATTATGTTTTAGTATAACGGGTATTTTCTTTATTTTCCCTTTTGTTGAAGTGTGGTTTTTTCTTTTCATCTGTCTAAGAATATTGGTTTCTTGGATTCATCTCTTCCATGTTTTTAATGTTGTTGCATTTTTCATTTTTGGGGTTTTTGGCCATCTAGGGAAGAGCTCGCAAGTTCCGCAATTTCTTCTGGAAGCGAATTTGAAGCCCATTTTGTGCACACAGCCGAGGAGATTTGCTGTTGTAGCCGTGGCCAAAACTGTTGCAAAAGCACGTAAGTGCGAAGTTGGAGGAGAGGTTGGGTGTCATATTGGCCATTCAAAGAACTTGTCAGCAAGGTAGTTGGGTTCAATGTACTTATTTTTCATGTAGGCTTCCTTTTGGACCTTTGGTGTTTTAAGGACTCAGAATTTGTGATTTTGTTGAGTTTAGAAATTTTTAGAAATTTCACCTTCATTTGGTACGGGAGGCATGAATCTGGTACTAATTATATATATAAACAAAAAACAATATTTCACAATTTTTATTTCTCTCCTCTTTGTGGCCTATTATTTTTTCACAGCTCAAAAATTGTTTTTAAGACTGCTGGAGTTCTGCTGGAGGAAATGCAAGACAAGGGATTGAATGCACTTAACTATAAAGTTATTATTCTTGATGAAGTGCATGAAAGATCTGCCGAGTCTGATCTTGTTCTTGTTTGTGTGAAACAGTTTCTGATGAAGAACAAAGACTTAAGGTGAGATATTTTCCTTACTACGCTCAGAGGCTCCTTCGATATGCTGTTCACTTTTGGGCTATCTGCATATCTGCTCCTCTTTATTCGCGTTGTCTTGTCATTTTTTACAGCAGATTTATGGAGAAAAACATTAGTGGCTTCTTAAAATATAAGAGATCTACAAAATTTTCAGGGTAGTTTTGATGTCAGCGACTGCTGATATTGCAAGATACAGAGAATACTTTAAGGATCTTGGAAGGGATGAACGAGTGGAAGTGCTAGCAATCCCTAGCCCTAACCAGAAAACCATCTTTGAGAGAAAAGTTTTCTATCTTGAACAGGTATTCCCAATTACACGTATCTAAAATTTTCTGGTCTGGGAGAAACAGGAAGATTTGGTAAGCTTCTAAAGTTCTATAACTATCAGAATATTAAAGATATATCAATGCAGGTCTGAACGGCATTAAGGTCTAAAAAAGATTTGGTGCGATTGTATATTTTTGAATCTCATCACATTTTATTGTAGCACTTATTTATTCCATACCAACCAAGTAACTGTGATTATATATTATAAAGTTCATCACATTTTATTTTTGTACTTATTTACACAATATGAGCCAGGTAACTGAACTTCTTGGAATAAGTTCAGAGTCATCCGCTTTGAGTTTGAGATACTGTTCTGATCCAACTCCTTACATGGCTAACGCTATTATCAAACCTGAAGTGCATAAACTTATTCACGATCTGGTGCTGCATATTCACGAGAACGAACCAGATATTGAAAAGAGCATTTTAATTTTCCTTCCAACGTACTATTCCTTGGAGCAGCAATGGTACCTTCTGAAGCCACTTAGTTCATCTTTCAAAGTTCACATTTTACATAGTAGTGTTGACACTGAGCAAGCTCTTTTGGCAATGAGGATCTGGAAATCACATCGAAAGGTGCGCCTCTTAGACATTGCTTGTCAAAGAAAAACAAATTGCTAGTTTATTTCGACACTTCTCCACGTCATGTGATAGCTCTTCGTAGTGCAAATAAGTTGTTTTGATCATTTAAAATGTGTCTATAAGTTGTTTGTCCTGATCCTATTCTTTTTTTGCCCCTTTTTTTCCCATGGCTGTGACTGTTCTGAAGATAACATTTTGCGCAGGTCATACTGGCCACGAATATTGCGGAATCATCTGTGACAATACCCAAAGTTGCATTTGTCATTGATTCATGCCGATCTTTACAAGTATTTTGGGATAATAATAGGAAAGTAGAATCTTCGGAGCTCGTTTGGGTTTCCAAATCACAGGTAGTCTGAAGAAATCTTACCCGTTGAATAAATTAATCCTGGCTGATTTTTTCCCCTTTAATTTTTGAATTGGTTTGTAGGCTGAGCAACGTAGAGGAAGAACTGGAAGAACTTGTGATGGCCAGATTTTTCGATTGGTTACTGGATCATTTTTCAGCAACCTTCAGGATCATGAGCTTCCATCTATACTGAGGTTGTCATTGAGGCAGCAAGTGCTTCAAATTTGCTGTGCCGAATCTAAAGCTATTAATGATCCCAAGGGTATGTAAAGATATATGAAATTTGAAATGTTTTCCTGTGTGTTCACTACTTATCATTTCGCGAGTTTGACATGTAGTGAGCAGTTGCAAACGTACACTGATTGTGCCTTTGCTCTGCAAGTTTCAATGAAATTCTAATTGTGGAACTTTGATGCCAGTCTTGCTGCAGAGGACTCTAGATCCACCAGATCCTGATGTTGTTGAAGATGCTTTGAATTTGCTAGTTCATATGCGTACATTGGAGAAAACATCTCCAAGGGGTCGATATGAGCCTACGTTCTATGGGCGATTGCTTGCAAGCTTTGCATTGTCTTTTGATGCTTCTGTGCTTATACTCAAGTTTGGAGATATTGGGATGCTGCGGGAAGGCATTCTTCTGGGTGTATTGATGGATACGCAGCCTCTACCCATTATTCGTCCTTTTGGTGATGAAAATTTGGTACCTATACAATGACCAAAAGAAAATGATTTTCTGGAAGCCCTAATTGTTTAAATAAATTTTCTTCTCTAATTTATTGAATACTTTAATGTAGGGCACACTCTATACGGACTGCTACTTTAGGGAAGATGTTGGTGACACTGGCCTAAATGGTCGGAGGGAGATACAACTCATGGCTAACGTATGTGCATTTCAGTTTTGGCAACGTGTCTTCAAGGTAATTAGTACACTTGCATGTTCCTAAGCCGTGAACAATGGGATTTATATTTGTACCTGATCGGGACATCTTCCATTTTTCTGAAGGATAAGCACCGTCTTGAGCATTTGAATCTACTTCTAACGTTTGATGAGCTGAAAGCTTCCAATTTACTGCTTTCCAAGTCGGAAGAAGAATGGTGTTCTTTCCATAATCTTGTGCAGTCGTCTCTAAATCATGTCTCCGAAATATGTATGTATTTGCATTCTTACTCTTATCATTTCTTTGCTTTATCGTTATATCTATATAAGCTCGTGCAATTAATCACTATTTCATGCATATGTCCAAGTACTTGTAAACATGCACGGATCTTCAATGATGGATATGCTCTATTTATTCTTTCAAAGCTGCTTTCAAGTCTAGTTATGTTTCTTTCCAGATGAAGATATACTTAACTCAGTCCACCGCTTTAGGCCAACATTTTTGCGTTCATCTGATGGCCTTCCGTGCTACTACGATCCTTGTGATTTTAAACATACCTGCCTTCTCAAATGTCAGCCAAAGGAAGATTCAGATGCACTTGAGGTGAATGATGATCACCTTAAGCCTTCTCATGAGGCAAAGAAATGTGTTGTCGTACCATTTGTTGCTTGTGATGACTTTCAGAAAATTGATGTCGCAAAAAATTTTGCAGCCATCATCAAAGAGGTACTTGCTATTCTTGCCTTCTTTATGAGGGTTACCCATGGCACAAAAACTGATTTTTCCTTCTTTTCTTGTTTTGAATAGATAAAAGCTGAGTGTACGGAAGATATAGCTGGTTATTACAATAATGATGGTTATCGTGCCAATGGCGAGATGCCTATGTGTATATATTTTCTCAATGGATACTGCAACAGGGGTGATCAATGCTTATATTCTCATTCACTGCAAGCGAAGAGACCTACATGCAAATTTTTCTTCTCTCTCCAGGTAATTTGCTTGAATTACCTTGCAAAATTGATTGCTTCTGGATCCTATATCTAGATTCAATGACATTTTAAAGTTCGGATAAAAAAAGATGACTTTAAAGTCGCTTAGTTACAAATAATTAATAGTTATCTTCAGTGATCATTTTCTGATGTTGGAGTACTTCTCTAGATCTTTGTTTGAACTAGAGGCTAGTATAATTATTTGATTTAACATAATACTTCCTGATAGTATACGTTAAATTTTACACCAAAATGCTAATTAAAATTGTAAATTTAATTTAGTTCTCCGTTCGTCATATAATATTAGGAGCACTAATGGGGTTGAACATAAGAACTTGCCATCTTCATTTCACTCTTCACCCTGAGATTTCTTTTATATATTGTTTGATTCCGGTATAACTCCTTTATTTTGCTTGCTGTATAATAGTTCTTTCCTTATTTGTTCTTGTTTCCAACTGACAGGGTTGTCGAAAAGGAGAATTGTGTTCCTTTTCTCACGATATGGGCCCACCAGGATCATCATTTAGCTCGACCTTTTGCCTCCCAGAAAATGGTGAAGCTAATGCAGAATCCCTTCTTCAGTTGTTTCCTACATCCTCAGATGGGTGTATTCTAGTCTTAGATGACACCGATTTGCATTTCTCCTCGAATTTTGCTTCCTACTCCAATCCATCTAGTATAGTTGCCACGACACCTTTATCAGAGACCTCCTTCTTCGAGTCATCCTTGGAAGATGTCAAAATCTTATGGGGTCTTCATCAGCCGTACGAAACCATTATTTCGAAAGCAGGGAAGAACTCTGTCGAGTGGAAGGAAATTGGTTGTGTTCTATGGTTTCCTAATTTGGTGGCTCTGATGAACTTACCGAAATGCAGAGAATGCTCGTGCGCAACTTCTTTGAATATCTGGCCATCCGCATACTAGCTGACGGCTTGGAGGACTTGCAAGTTATCCTCACCATGAACAATATCAGATTTTCACATCTGGAGGTAACAATTGATGCTATAAGCCAATCATATACTGTTTCTTTGGAAAATCTCACCGCATTTATCAAGATGAATACAACTCTCTCTCTCTCTCTCTCTCTCTCTCTCTGTGACACAGTGATCCTCACTCCGCAGACCTGTTGCTTAGAGCTGCTAACTATGCTGAAATATGTAGATTCGAACATGCTAACAGAATTGCAACAATATTGATGGTTATGATATTGTTCTGAAGAGCTCATGGTTATTATGATTGTCTTCAGGTGGAGAAATTGGGTAGAGAGAGGTTTTTCTTCCTCAGAGAGTCATTCCCATTTGACGAAAGAAGCTTTGGGAAGTTGCGGGACACAATCACCACAAAGAAGCCAATGGTGGTCTCAAGACCAATTTCTTATGTCTTCAACTTGAACCCTCCGTCACACATTCAATTCGGTGATTACGTCACAGGACTTCACCAACTTCTTGATGTTCAGAAATGAGACTTCAGGAAACTTCTTGATGTTCGCGAAATATTATTGTGGATAGAACTTGTGTTTGTATACAGTGGATTAAAATATCTTTTGGCATTTTCAATTAGGATGTTATCATCGTCGGTATTTATAACTGGAAGGTATTTAGAGGGAGGGAAAAAAAGAAGAAGGAAATACAGTGAGTAAAGCTTGTGGTGGATAAAACATGATGTGCACGGGTTTTATGTATAATTTTTATTGGAAATTTCCCTCCCTCAAGTATTTGCATTTGAAAAAAAAAAAAACAAAAGAAAAGAGAGATCAAAGAAACAGATAATCTATTGTTGTATTTGATCAGCCATACTATAGATAGGTAAATTTGGCTAAAGCCGAAAGGCATTTTATGCACAAAAAGTAATATCATGTGCGTGCTGTCAATTTTACAACCTTTTCTCAGGAAAAAAAAAAAAACCGTACCTCAAGCGTTTTCCAGTTCTGCGTGTATTTTAATTTTACTAATTGTACTCGTATGAAAAATAATAATTAAACAATTTTAATTTTCGTGGTAATAGACTTTAAATAGTTTGATTTCTAAAAACTCTATTATCAAAAAAAGAAAAAAGATCTCAACTCAATTTTTGAAAGTTTATCCAATGAAGATTTGGTGGGTGGATTAGCTTGATTTGGTATCCGAAGTAGATAAATATCTTGATCCATTTTTTATTTTTCTTACTTTAGCAAAAAAAAAAAAAAAAAAAAATATTTTCAAGCAGGACACGTGTGCGGTGCGGGGCTCAAGAGATGGTAAGGGAGTTTACATATTTTTTTAAGTGGGGTCTCTTTTCTCCCATCCATTTTCCGGAAGAACTCCACAAAATATCGAGCTCTCCCTGCAAGACTGCAAGTCTTCGATCGAGGCTACGATTTTAATTCCGTAAACTAAAAAGAACAAAATAAAAAAAAAAAATCGGGAGACTTGGATGAAGTTCTAAGCTGAGGCTACAACAACAAACAAGATCGTTTCTTTCCCAACATAGAAGGAAAAAGAAAAAGAAAATAATTGGTATTTATCCAGTAACAACAACAAATCCCAGATTCCATGTCGCCGAAGCTTCTAGATTCACGGCACTCCATAGATTCCTGCGCCTTCCAGCTCCACTCATGGAGGCCCTTCCAACAACATTCTACTCCTCCGACCAAAACCCTAGACGCCGCCAACAATCCTCGGCACTACCGCTCCAATGGCGGAGCCCACGCGATCACGAAGCGCCCCTGCCTCTCGGACCGCGCCACGTCCTTCCCGATCGACGCAATCGATATGTCGCGGCTCAGCCTCGTCGACGACGACACGGCCAGGCCCCACCACCACCAGTACAGGGGGAGCCTCCGGCTGCTCGCGAGGAAGCGCCGCCGGCGGGGCTCCAGGTCGGTGTCCGGTCGGAGCAGCGATCGCAGCGGCACGCGGCGGTGCTGCTCCGTCGGGGCGTCGGCGGCGTACGGCACATGCTCAGATTTCCCGGTGGCGGTGGGAACGGACTCGAGCGGGGAGCTGTTCTTGAACACCGGCGACGCCAATTGGTCGTCGGACGTGAGCGAGGCGCGGAATTCGAGGAGGGAGAGGGACGGAGCAGGTGGAGGGAGTGGCGAGAAGGAGAGTTTCGGTGGTGTGATAGGGGGTTTTGACTCGCAAGGGGCTGAGTCGGGGTATGGGAGTGAACCGGGTTATCGCGGCGACGCGGAGTTCGGGTACGGCGATGAGCACGACGAGGAAGAAGACGATGCTCGCTTGTTGTTTTGGGGCAACAGATTTGAAGGTACGAGTTTTCTATGAAATTAAAACTAATAATAACAAAAAGAATTTGTTCTTTAAATCTCTGTATGTACAATCAGGGTTCTTGGAAAGTTCTAACCTTTATCGGAAAAGTTTTCTATTTTTTATGGCACCACCATACTCTTGTTGGCTTGTTCTGGTTTTTAATGCTATTGAAGTGTAGATTGCTTTTTTTTTTTTCTTTTTCTTTTTCTGTATATAATGAGTTTGAGTTGAGATTTGCCATAAATGTTAGTTCTATATTGCTCAACCTCTTTGTTGCTCGGTTAATTTTTTATTTTTTTTTAGAACTTAATATATTGCTAAACTAGAAATTCATTTCGGACAGTGGATAACCGGAATAATTTGTGGCAAAATAATAGATGCCAAGAAGATTGTTCGTTGGCTAGCAACCATTTTCTTTTCTTTTCTTTTCTTTTCTTTTCTTTTTAGAAAGGGAAACTTGTATTCAAATAAAAACAGATAACAACCACTATTTTGCCGGTTGAGGGATAAGAAAATTGAAAGAGAAGAAAAGAAATAACAAATAGAGTATCTCATCTTCTTTTCTAAGCAAACTTCATTTTGTTTATTCCTTTATGAGAACGTTGGCTAGTCGTGCAAATATTTCTTTGGTCTGATGGTGTTTTTCCTTTCTTTTACCAGACACCGATTCGATGACGGAGATCGTGGGGGAGAACACATTCTCAGATCAAAAAGTCCATCACAGATGCCGGCGAAAGAAACACGATTGTAGAATGGTCGACTCGGTGAGGTAAAAGATTTGTTGAAGGATATAAAACTTCTCTTTACTTTATATCCACACAATTGAGAAGCTTTTCTTTGCCTCCTACAATTAATTGCCTCTGGTGCTTCACAAGATACCGCAACACGTTTTCAAGTTTTAAGTTGTTGTATGTACAGCGAGTTTTGTTTTGTTTTTTGTTTTTTTTGTTTTTAAATTGTTTTTACCCGTACTTTTTGAGAGAGGAAGAAGTCAATGCTTAGACGTTATTTATATCCGCAGTGGGGCTCGTTGGATAACTAATATCCCCGGTCTATGATGTATCAATGGAAATGGTTAAATTTTGAATGTGAACATTTATTGCTTCTTTCTTTTTCTTCCAGTTTTGCTGAATTCATATTTTACTCTTTCTATGTAACGCTCTTACGAGCAAGCAGTTAAAAACCACGCCTGCTCGAGAGAAATGTTAACTGAAATTAAAATATTACTGCTTAATAGAGAAATAATATCTATCACAAATACAATCTTCTAACATAATTCTTAATTTACAAATTTTATTTTTTAAGATCTCCTAACTTATCATGGGACCTTGAACTATTATTGTTTAGTCAATTAGAATTTCTATTTTAGTACTTACTTACATCACGAGAACTATATGAGCGCATATAGTAAACTATAAATAATTTCTACTTTCAAATAGTTATCTCAAACATTTAGGGTCTTATTGTATAATATTAATATTGTGTTATTAGAATCTCTTTCATATAGCTCCTGTTATGGAATCTCTTATTCCTCTAGGATTTGACTTTTTATCGTATTTCAATCAGTTCATAATAGACACAAGATTCACATCATACTCAGAAATATTTTTCAAATCTCAATGAAAATATGTTAACAATAACATATATAAATTGAAAATATACTTGTTTAAGTGATGTAGTGAAAAGTCTACCTACCTTAGGAAGATAAATATAACTTTTCTCTATTTTTTTTCTTTCCGTTCTCTCTCTAGTAACAAAACTCTCTCGCATTCTTTTTCCTAGTCTCTAAAGTAGTAACAAAACTCTTCTAACATATTTATATATGTAACCAATCCTTTATATCAAAGCAATCTGCGGCAGCAAGACATTAGGTTCCATGTGGCCACTCACTGGTTAATCCTTAGCTAACATTCATCAAGCCTAGCAAGCATGAGTTGGCAGTTTCTTAGGCCATATCACCAAGGCTACAACTTAAGTCTTCATGTGGCTTTACATGGCCTTGGTAATTCACGTAAGGTCCAACCATTTACTTTAAACTCTCCAACTAGCACACTTAAAAATGATAGTGGTGACACCTAAATGACATTTATCTTGATAATAATACAAAACAAATTAAATTGTATTATTTTTCTTAACTAATCTAGTTAATGTGAACACATATTGTTTCTTTCTTTTTCTTCCAGTTTTGCTGAATTCATATTTTACTCTTTCTATTTGTCTAAACCCTTGAACTACTTCTATGCGAACTTGTTTTGAGCAATGGGGTTTTCTCCTTTGTGCACAGACCCCCTTCTGTGAACCCCCCTGCCGTAATTCATGAGTATCAAAGCAGATACATGAATTTGTGATTAGTTAAAAAAGAATGTTGATGATCACAAGTGGGTATATCTATTGCTCAAGTGTAAAAATCTACATTATATTGGAGAACTAGAAAAGACTGGCACTTCTATTGAGCTCTTGCTTTATTGGAGGGATAGATACAATACATGGTTCTTTTGAATCTGATCGAGCACGTGTGTCGAGGGATGGGAAGGGTAGTGCTCATGTTTCATAGTGAGCTTGCATGACATGACACTAGCACAATTCTTGTACGTAGCTTGGACATATATATATATATCAACTCTATTTTTCTTTATTTAATTTGAATTGTGTCATAGCAAAATTGAACTCCTAGCATGAAAAAAGGTCTAACTCACGGACTCGATAGGTGAAAGTTCGAGATGGCATAGAGATGGCCCAATCTGGCCCTAAAGCTTGAAAGACACGGTTGATATTGTCCATTATAAGGTATTTTTAAAAAAATCTTAAAAAGATGGTGTTTAGGTCTAGCCCGATTTAAATAAATTTTTAAGTTCGAAATCTTAACCCGGTCTGAGTAGTGGGTCTCAGACTAGTTCGTTTGACCCATCCTAAACGTAGCTCTACGCACGATATATACACAAGCTCAAAATGTCTTTGACCATGTGTTGGACCAGGCCTAAGTGTTCGAGTCTCAAGTGTCCCTTTAAAGAAGTTCAAGTCTCGTTTCTAATGGTTCAGCTGCAGTTTTTTTTCTCACAATTTGAATTTTAATTTAATTTAAACCATCTGATTGGAACTTATAACCGAAATGGGTACTTAGAGTAACACAAGTACGACAAGAAGTTTTAATGAATTGAACACAACATCAAATGCAGATAAATTAGAGGAACATCATTCTGTAAAAATAATTTATATGTAAGAAATCTTTATTTACGTGAATTTTTTTGTTACCGGTCGAAAAAAGAAAATTTACGTGAAATTTTTTTTATTAATTATAAATGAAATATTTACACGATAAATTACTATTTATTTTAAATAATTTTAAAATATACTATTTATTTAATTTAGTTTATAAATCTGCTAGTTATTAAGTTCTCCTTTTCCCTTCATATTTTTTACACGATTGTCGCCCAAACTTCTCAAAGACCTTCAATTAATATCATTGTTAATCTTTTGACCGTAGTATTATTGGTTATTTAATTTTATCAATTTTAACTCTAATTTATTATTAATACAAAATTAATTTTTTATTATTTTGATAAAACATAATTAGAGACCCTAATCCCAATCCAAAAAGGACACCTTATTATACATATACTAAAGGAAAGGAAGGATTTCGCTGTTCACGCTACAGTATACTGAACAATGTCTTTTCTTTTTTGCCCCTACATATTTCTTCAGTTGATTTTTTATTTCCGTTACGTCCTTTTCAATGTAAAGTTACTATATCTCTCTTTAGTTCAATTTCATTTGTTTTGGTTTATTTTGACCGTTTTGGTCATTTGCACTCAGATTGTGTGTTTTAATTTTTTTCTTTTCGTTTGCTACCTTCTACGACCTTCTAGATCTGTATTTTTTTTGTTCGTTTCTGGAGTAACTTTTCTCTCTTCCGTTTGCTTCCTTCTGCAACCTGTTGGTCACCGAATCGAATTCGGATGCAGAAGCGTGGCGGGGAGGCAGATCATGTATAACAAAAAATTTTCATAAAACCTTTGAGATACTCTATAGATTATATTAATTTATGCACGAATAAATTAATCTCATTAATTCATTTATTAAGAACTCAATTAGAAAAAATACCTGGAGGCCGACTCGGTTGATAACTTGAGTTATTTGACCTCGAACAATCCTTGCTCCAAAGCTTTGTGTTTAGAAAACCAATGTCTTCCACGTCAATTCCTAGAATCCACGAAGACGTGTGTGTGGGCACACATGAGACAAAACGGGTTACAATAAACACTCGAATTTTCACAAACACTAACGCATGCACGATGTGGAATTTTTTAGAGGAAAAATTTTTCCTTCTCTCTATAAGGGAAATTCGGCCAGCCCCCTTCAAGTTAGGTTAAAAAATTGTCTCATGCAATTTTTCATCATATCTTATTTATAGAGTAGAAGTCAAACTTCTAGAAGGAATCAAATCTCTATCTCCTATTTGAATTTCGAACAAAAATTCTCCTCTCTCTTATCTCCTTATGGCCGGCCAACCCTAGGGTTTCCTATACCTATGTGTGGCGCCAATTGCAGATAGGGAAGGAAGAGAAAATCATCATTTATCCTGTAGTCCAATTTTGATTCAAATTCAAATTCGAATTTAAGTCAAATTTAAATTAATTTGAATTCTAAATTGAACAACTTATCAAATAAGTTTAAAAGGATAAATTTAAATTATATTCATGATT